GGGTGGATTTTCCCCATTATTGTTTTTCCCAACTTTGTTGAGTTATAATTGATGTAAACTGTACCTGTTTGAAATGTACAGTTTGATCATGTGTGTGTACACACACCAGTGAAACCATCACCACTATTGTTTTTCCCAACTTTGTTGAGTTATAATTGATGTAAACTGTACCTGTTTGAAATGTACGGTTTGATCATGTGTGTGTACACACACCAGTGAAACCATCACCATAAGCTCTATTACAAATATTTCTATCTCCACCTCCCCTCCCCCCGAATTTCCCCATGCCCTTTGTAATCCCTCTGTCCCTCTACTCCAGACTCCAAGCAACCACTGATATGCTCTCTGTCACTATAGTTTGTATTTTCTAGAGTTTTATATAAGTGGAATCCTACAGTATGTGCTCTTTTTTGGTCTGGCTTCTTTCATTCAGTACAGTGATTTTGAGGTTCATCTACTTGGTTGTGTGTTTCAGAATTCATACAATGTAGTTTCTTTGTTTCATTTTATTGCTAAATAGTATCCCATCATATGGATTTACCTCATTTATTTATCCATTCACCTGTTAATAGACATTTGGATTGTTTACAGTTTTTGGCTGTCACATCTAAAGTTGCTATTCATGTACAGGTTTTTTATGGGGCATGCATTTTCTCTTTGCTCATATCATAGGTGTGTGTTTAACTTTTTAAGAACTGTTGTGTTTTGTTTGGGCTGCTGGCTGGTATGGGGATCCAAACCCATGACATTGCTCTCTCAAGTGAGCTAACCCGCCAGCCCCAGTACTGTTGGTTTTTACACAGGTGTTTGCTTTGTGATAATTTATGGAATTGTACATTTATATTTTATTTACTTTTCTCTATGTATGTTATACTTCTCATTTAAAAGCAACAGCATAGCACTAAAACTTTCTAGCATGAAGTTAATACCTGAGAGGCTTCATTCTAGCATTTAGGGAGCGCATAACCTGACAGCTTGCCCTTCCTCACCCTAAAGCACAGTCTAACAGTTGACATATCCCGTTATATAAATAGTTATCTTTGCCTGTCACAAGAGACCTGGAGAAAGAAAAACACCACGGAAACCCATGGAGGCTACCCGTTTCTTTATTAAATATGAATACTGGCCATACAAGAAAATAAGTAACATGAAAGAGAAAACCAAGATAAACCAAAAAACTGATAGCCAAGGATACCAAATTCAGGGAACAGAAGATATATTTTTTAAACTAATATAGTCAGAATGGGGAGATGTTGGTTAAAAGGTACCAAGTTTTGATTAGACGAGATGAATAAATTCTCAAGATCTCTTGTACAGCATGGTGACTTTAGTTAATAATAATGTATTATACACATGAAAAATCCTAAAAGAGGAGATCTTAAATGTTCTTACCACAAAAAAATAAGTACAGTCGTCCCTTAGTATCCTTGGGGGATTGGTTCCAGGACCTTTGCAGATACTAAAATTTGTGGATGTTCAAGTTCCTGATATAAAACGGCATAGTATTTGCATATAACCCATGTGTACATCCTTCTGTAGACTCATCTCTAGATTACTTATAATACCTAATAGGTACTATGCAAATAGTTGTTATACTGTATTGTTTACCAAATAATGACAAGAAAAAGTCTGTATGTGTTCAATACAGACACAATTTTTTTTTCCAAATATTTTTGGTTCACAGTTGCATCCATAGATATGGAACCCACAGGCATAGAGGGCTGACTGTATGTGAAATGATGGATATGTTAATTAGCTTCTTTTAATCATTTACAATGTATCACAACATCACATTTTACACTGTAAATGCAGATTTTGTCAATTATACCTTAATAAAGGGGGAAAAATAATATACTCAGAGATTCAAGAAAATATTATGTTCATTAGTAGGATGCTATTAAAAACCGCAATCAAAGAACCAAAAAGAGCTCACAGATTTAAAGATTGCCAAAACTTTCTAAACATGATACAAAATCCAGAAATCATAAAAGGTTGATAAATTTGCCTACATAAAAATGAAAAATTTCAGCATGGAAGGAATCACCATGTAAGTAAAGTCAAAAGATGACAAACTAATGGAAGGTATTTGTACCTTATATGACAAAGGCCTAATTTCTCTAAAATACAAAATGCTCCCTCAGCAATAAGATACAGATCCACCACCCAGAAGACAATAAGCAAAGGGTATGAATAGATAGTTCATGGGGGGAATGGCTGTTGAATATGTGACTGGCAAAAATAAAAAACTTTAACAAAACGTATTAGTGAGGATGCGGGGAAACTGGCATACTTATACATAAATTAGTACATTTTCTGTGAAAGGTATTTTGGCAATATCTATCAATATTAAAAACACACAAGTCCTTTGTTTTAGCAATTGCACTTCTGAAAACTTCTTTTACAGTTTTATCTGCCTTTATCCAAAATGACTACACAATTGGGCCGACCCTGCGGCTCACTCGGGTGAGTGCGGCACTGGGAGTGCAGCAGCGCTGGGAGCGCCAAGACCGTGGGTTCGGATCCTATATAGGGATGGCCGGTGTGCTCACTGGCTGAGCACGACACCAAGCCAAGGGTTACAATCCCCTTACTGGTCACACACACACACACACAAAAAGAACCCTACACAATTAATTATTGCAGCATTGTTTGCAATACTTAAAGATCACAAACAACCCAAATGTCCATTAATAAGGAATCGGTTAAATTTGTAATATGTGTATACAGTGTAACACCGTATAATTCTAAACAGGGAAGGTCTATGTAAAATACTTAATATAGAATAATCTTCAAAATGTATTGTCAAATGAGAAAAGCAAAGTGCTGAACATGTGAATGATGTGTTCCAGTTTGGAGGCAAAAATGGTGGAATCAAGGGAGGAAAAAATATGTCTTTTTCCTTGTGTATAAAGAGACTATCTCTGAAAAGATGATAAAGAAGCTGATAATAGTAGTTGCTTCTGAAGAGAAGAGAGTGGCCAGGAGGAGACTTAACTTTTGGATTTTAAATCATGCAAATGTACTTTCTATTCCAGAAAAATGAAAAATATTCTCAATAGGAGGTTAAGGAGAAAAAGCTGAACTCTCCCAGACTGTATGACTAAAAACCAGAGATGGAAAATATGAGGGAAAAATTAAGTGACACAGAGGACCAATTCAAAAGGTCCAACATTCAACCAATAAGATACCCAGAAATGGAGCACAGAAAAAACAGAAGGGAGGGAGTTATCAAAACAAAGTAGAAGAAAATATCCCAGAGCTGAAGAAGAAAGTGGCCTAGCTCAGTGTTTACTGTGAACGTTCACTCAGTAACTTTCCCCCATCAGTCCTAGTTTTGTTCTCCAAAACTGTGTTAAGTCAGCTACATCTTCTGTGTGGTAACTATTAAAATATCTGAAGACAACTTAACAGCCCCTGTCTTCTATTCCTTATCAGACTAAGTATTTCAAGTAAAGCACTAGTGAGTGTGTGAGGAAGTGGGCACACTCATACTCTAGGTGGGATTACAAATTATGGAAGTCTTTCTGGAGGATTCAATGCGATCCCGTAAAAGCACTTAGAACAGTGCCTGGCATGTTAGCTCTGTTCAATACATGTTAGCTGTCATCATCATCATTAAGTCATGGACACATTGGTAATAGTATGTGCTATTAAGCGAGACATTTCGCTTATCTAGACCTCCATTTTCTCATCTATAAAACGAAATGTGAGGGCCAGCCCATGGCTCACTTGGGAGAGTCCGTGGTGCTGACAACACCAAGGCCATGGGTTCAGATCCCTATATAGGGATGGCCGGTTGGCTCACTTGGGAGAGCGTGGTGCTGACACAACCAAGCCAAGGGTTAAGATCCCCTCACCGGTCATCTTAAAAATAAAAAATAGTAAAATGAAATGGCCAAACTAGATGGTCTCCAAGGTTTCTGGTAGCTCAGACATTCTACAATTCTGTGGTTTGCGGCTCATGTAAGTTGCTCTTCCCTCTATGGTCTAGGAATGCTTTCCTTCCTTAACTACTTCCTAGAAGGAGCAGTTTTGCTTCCCCAGTACATGATGATCTGCCTTTCTCAGAAATCCTCTGGGGGGGGGGAATGTGATTAAATTTGCCTTGACGAGAGAGGTCTCGTTGCATTTGTAGATGGAATGGAGAGTGTCATTTATCGGAGGTATTGTGAAGAGAGGAAAGGAAATGGCATCAAAGTCCATTAAGACTTGCTGTTAGAAGGATGGCAAGAATAACAACGGTCCATGTTTACTGAGCATTTCTGTGTGGGAGGCGCTGTGCTGACATGTCTTATCGCATTTCATCTTTACAATAATCCCATTAGATAGATATTCTTACTATCCCCATTCTGCTGATGTGGAAAGTGCAGCAGAGAGATTAAGGAACTTTCCAGCATCACATAGCTAGGAAGTGATGGAATTTGCACATATACAAGTGTAATCCGATTCTAGCACCCATACTCTTAACCATTATGCTATATTGAATTGATTCCAGGTAGAGAATCAATTGAGTTTAGATAACTAGAATGCTTCAAATTGTACATACAATTTTTTAACAACTTTATACTTTGAAAAATGACAAACCTATAAAAAAATGTTGAAAGACTACTATAAGGAACATGAATACAGATTCATCAATTAACGTTTTGCTTCGCTTAATTTCTCTCTATATAAGATCTCCTTTTTTAAAAAAAGTAAATGGAGCTGGCCAGTTAGCTCACGTGGTTAGAGCATGGTGCTGAACACCAAGGTCAAGGGTTCAGACCCCAGTACCAAAAACAAACAGTGAATGGCAGACATCATGAGCTCCTAAGAACAAAGACAATCTCCTAAATAGCAGTAATACCATTATAACACACAAGAACTGTAGCAGTGAATACAGGCAAGATTAATAACCTTTAGTTTGTTTTAGATAAAGTCAAATCTCCTTTTAGAGCATTGAAATTGCATTGCTAATAAAAAAAAAAACTTAGCAAGATCTAATTTTTTTTTCTTCTCAGAAATCATATTCCATGCCTATTGGCATCGAATTTCAGCGGAGATATGCAACAATTGTTCTAGAACTTGAACAGCTGAACAAGGACTTAAACAAAGTTTTGCATAAAGTTCAACAGTACTGCTACGAGGTAGGTAATTTGTATGAATTTCTCTACACTTTTATTTGAAGCTTAATACTTTTACCTTCACATTTTAGAAAATCCAAACTAAGCCAATATCTTTATTCAGTCCCTCAGCAGAACAATATTTTATATATATTTTTATTCCTCACAGCATTGTTGAAGAGTGCTTTATATACAGTAAGCTATCAATTCTGAGTTTTGGTTCAAATTACAAATGATAGCTCTCCAAAGAAATTTAGAAAAATAGTTATTCTTGATTTCCTTACCCCAAAGACCATATTTTGATTTATTTCCCTTTTTTAAAAAAATAATACATGCTTTTTCTTACAAAGCTATGATCATGCTAAGTGTACAATTTTATTTCCTCCTCCTTTAAGCTTTACATTAGAATTAAGAATTCTTGAATTTCAAATACATAGATCACAGGATTATTTGTGAATTATCATTCACATATGAGGGTAGTTCAACACTTTCACCTAAAATTTCAGTTTCTTACTACAGGGTAAGAATTAAATGATCTAGATGAGTTTAGAATGCTCCTGCATTTGCATTCTTTGAGGTTGTGTGTTTCCTATAAACCCACCTCTATTTGTGATATGATAATAGCCTCAGAGGTAGGTCTCAAAGAACTGCCATAGGTGATGTTATCAACCCATTTGAATTGAACTGAGGGCTGTGATTACCTATAACTAAACTGTGAGTGTAGTTTGCTCATTCCTTTAGCTGTCCATTATCATTTATCTTTATTTTCCTGATAATTGTCAGTCACCTACATAGCAATATGTATTATTCTAGTAAATAGATTTTCCCCTCTGGACTAGCAACTGTCCAGGAGACGTGCGGACCAGGCAGTCCAAGGTGATACATAACAGGGCCAGTAACACATGCAGAAGCTCATTCATCTTTTCGTAGCACCCAAGGCCATTTGCGATAGTCTCCTTTCTCAGTGAAGTAAAGTGATTTAATTTTCACAAAGCTCTGGTGAAAGCACAATATTGATTTTAAAATGAGAACGTATCAGTGAGAACACTATGACTAAGCAGTTATACTCCTAAATATATACCAAACAGATATGTGAACACATATTTACCAAAAGACGTATTTTAGAATGTTCATAGCATCACAGTTCATTATAGCCAAAACTTACAAAATACCCAAATACCCATCAATATTGTAATGGAACGATAAATGTGGTATAATTACAAAATGGGATACTACCCAGCAATGAGAATAAATGAATTCAACTACAACATAATGCCAAAGATAAATCTCACGAATACAGTGTTGGATAAAAAGTCAGATACAAAAGACTATAGTGTATGGTGCCATTTCTATAAAGCACAAGGCCACTAAAGCTACTCGGTGATGCTGGAAGTCAGGATGGGGGTTGCCCTTCAGGACGTGGTACTGGAAGGTGGCAGGGGGAGGGCCTCTGGGGTAACGTTCTGTCTCTTAATCTAGTTGCTGACTTCTCAGGGATGTTTGATTTGTGAAAACTCACTAACCTGTACACATTCTGATTTGTGTACTTTTATCTATTTATATGTGCTTCAGTTAAAATATTTAAAAAGTGTTAGAGGACAAGGCTATTCATTGCAGATTTGATTTGTGAAAACTCACTAACCTGTACACATTCTGATTTGTGTACTTTTATCTATTTATGTGTGCTTCAGTTAAAATATTTAAAAAGTGTTAGAGGACAAGGCTATTCATTGCAGAATTGTTGGTAATTGCCAAATACTAGAAAAAACTTAAATGTCCACACACAGGGAATTGGCTAAATAACTTACGGTACATCCACACAACAAAGTACCATGCTGACATAAGAAAGAATAAGGAAGCTCTGCTTAACTGCTGTGGTGTGATTTCCAGGACACACTGAGTGAAAAAAGCAAAGTACAAAAAAATACACAAGAGTACTTCAAAAAGTTCACAGAGATTCATATTATCTTTTAATTCTATTTCTCCACAAACTTTTTGAAGTACCCTCATATATCTTTAGCTACCTTTGGGTTAGGAAATAATGGGAAATAAAATACTTACGTGTCTCCTTAATTTTTCAAAAGGAAACAGAAAGGATAAACCAGAAACTAATTTGGGAATGGGTGGGGACTAGGGAGTGAGGAAGAGTGACATTTCTCTGAGTGTTTGTTTCTCCAACAGATACAAGTAAACTCCAAAATGGATTACAAACAAAAAAATGAACCGAACTGTATTTCAGAGGAGGAACAAACACGCTCGAGGGGACAAGAGCTAACCCAATAGCTTGAACACAGTATTGTTTGTACCCTTAGTCTAAACCAAACTTTAGACAAATATCAAACTCAAATTGGTAGGGTTTTCTCATAGTAGCATGGATTAGCAATTCGGAAGCGCTGTCGGTGTGTTTTAGGACCGGGCAAACAAGTAAGTGGGTGTATCAAGGATAGTGGGAACCAGTCTTCTCACTATCTAAGCAGGGAGTGATGGAGAAGGGAGGACTAGGATGAACTCTGTGCTCTCAGACTGGCATAGGGAGAATCAGTCTAAATTCATGGTTTACTTTTTTCTTGTAATTTAGGTATAAGTAAATATATATGTCTGCTGAGAGAGCCTAGAAGTAATGACACCTTGACAGCAAAAAACACCTAGTACCCAGATTTTGGTCTGTAAACACTGTCTCCAATAAAAGGAAGGAGGGGCTCCTAGAAAAAGAGACTGATTACAGACTTGGGCAGAGAAAATAGATGAGCCTGGACCACCTTATTATGCCAGGGAAGTAAAATGTGCCCCCAAAATGACAGAGACAAGTCAAAGGAGCCAGCTTCCTACTGGCCAAATCTGAGACAATTTGACAATTTGAGCTTCAGAATAAATAAATATAGTAAGAGATGTATAACCCATAAAATAAAGTAAGAATCCATGAGTCTGTACTGACATTCATTCATTCATTCATTTTTAAGGGAAAGTTTTTCCTTATAGTAAAATGCCAACTAATAAATGTAGAAGGAATGATAAGAGTGAGACAAACACCATTTGGCAAACATCCTAGTAATAATTGATACAGACAAGAATCATCAATGGATGCTAAAACTGGTAGGTAAGTTTGATGACAAATAGGATCTTTACATAGCCACAAAGTATCTCTTCACAAACACGTACTAATTACAAAGGGGAAATGCTTTACTGTGGGGAAATCTGGCAGACACTTAGCAAGTCAACCAAATGACCAAAGATAACGTCACCAGTAGTGAGAGGGATTGACGTCTGTGCCTTCTAACAATGAAGCAAGGAGAAGAATGCAGTATCACGCTGTAGTATTCCTGCCCAAAATGTATAACTTCAGCCTAATCATGAGCAAACACAAACCCACACTGAGGGATACCATACAAAATAATTAGCTGGCAATCTTCAAAAATATCAAGGCGACCAAAGATAACGTCACCAGTAGTGAGAGGGATTGACGTCTGTGCCTTCTAACAATGAAGCAAGGAGAAGAATGCAGTATCACGCTGTAGTATTCCTGCCCAAAATGTATAACTTCAGCCTAATCATGAGCAAACACAAACCCACACTGAGGGATACGATACAAAATAATTAGCTGGCAATCTTCAAAAATATCAAGGCCATGAAGCACTGAGGAACTGTTCAGAATAAAGGAGTCTAATAAAGGAGTCTAAAGAGACATGACAACCAAATGTATTCAGGGGGAAAAAATAACTGTGCGTAGGAAGGATATTGTTGGGACAGTTAATAAAATTTGAATATGGACTATGGATTGGAAAATGGTACTAGATGAATGTTAAATTTCCTGATTGTGATCATTGTACTGTGGTTATGTAAGAGAATATCCTTGTTCTTAGGGAATATAACTGGAGCATTTAGGGGTAAAGAGGCAGTGTTTGTGACTTATTCTCGCATGGTGAAGGGGGAGAAATTATATATACACAGAGAGAGATCAAATGGCAAGTCAAATGGAGTAAAACTTAAATAATTAGTGAGTATAAGTAAAGGATTATCAAGAGTTTCTTTAACTTTCTTAGAAGTTTGAAATTATATCAAAATTAAAAATTACAAAAAAAATAAATCAGGAAAAGAAAACTGTCAGAGGAGAAAAAACTTCTAAGATAAAGCTTACCGCATCATTTTAGTTAGAAATGCTAGTTTTGAAAAAATCCAAATCTGAAAACAGGGGACAAGCACATATAACAGTAATCATGGCCTTGTGAATGTACATCTCCTGTTTCAATCATTTGTTCTCAGCTTGCTCCAGACCAGGGGCTCCAGCCCGCAGACCAGCCAACAGACATGAGACGGCGCTGTGAGGAGGAAGCACAGGAGATCGTTCGGCAGGCAAACTGCTCGACAGGACAGCCCTGCGTGGAAAATGAAAACCTGACAGACTTAATCTCCAGGCTTACAGCTATTTTATTACAAATTAAGGTAAATTTCAGAGAAAATATTTTCTTAATTTGACGCTAAGTGAACTATGCTGATTTGTTGCTGAGAAATTATAATCCAGAGATTATATCAGGTATTTCACATCTATATTTGAGCTATAATTCAATTAAATTTTGAAATATTTTTTTCCTTTAGTGTCTAGCAGAAGGAGGAGACCTGAATTCCTTTGAATTCAAATCACTTACAGATTCATTAAATGATATCAAGAGTACAATAGATGCTTCTAATATCAGGTAATTCATTAGGTACTCCCTAATCATTTTTAAGTTAAACTCATAGTTCTTTTCAGTACAAGTTTTAAGAATTATGCATATTTGTGCAGTATTTATGTTTTTTATCCTTTAAATATATTTTAAAAGAACTTTTCGGTTATATCCAGTCTATTGACAGAAATTTCACATGGATTTTTTTTATATAAAAGAGTTAGGAGACATATAATATTTAGGTTTTGTTATCGGGGAGGTTCACCTTAGAAGTAGAGATTCCCCTGGGCCGGCCCGGTGGCACACTGCTACAGTGCGCCGCTTGGGAGTGCAGTGGCGCTCCCGCCGAGGGTTCAGATCCCACATACAGACCGGTTCCCGCTCACTGGCTGAGCGAGGTGTGGGCGCAGCACCGAGGGTTGCAATCCCGTTGCCGGTCCCGGTCCGGTCCGGGCGCGACACTGAGGGTTGCGATCCGTTGCCGGACACGAAAAAAGACAAAAGGAAAAAAAAAAAAAAGAAGTAGAGATTCCCCAACCAAAGAGAGTTTCATCCTCTCTTTCCAGCACCCCTGTGGCTCCTTTGCTTCTTTAGAGAATATTTTTCCACCTACTACCAAAGTAAAATTATGGCTGATGTATAAGAGGAGATTTATTCCTTCCCTGAGGTCATTACCTTAGCTGTTTTCTAACTAAAATTCAGCTCTTCCTTTTTTAAAAATTGTTTTTCTTAATCTTGTGAAATAAAGTAGTTAACCATGTTTCTTCTTTCTTTAGTTGCTTTCAGAATAATGTAGAAATCCATGTTGCACATATTCAGAGTGGCCTGAGCCAGATGGGAAACTTACATGCCTTTGCAGCAAATAACACCAACAGAGACTGAGTAGAAGGTTTAATTATTCCAACTGTATAGGACTTCGTTTTTGAGACATTCTTTTCCTTTATAGGCTTACAACACCAAATAACCTAACTGCTAGATAACAAGGGAAATTTAAATCTCCAAGTAATGCATTTTAATATACTGTACTGCTTCTTAAACCAGCATTACTGACCAGCATTATATTTATTTTTCTTTTATTATTCAGATGCAGTAGCATTGCTTATGTTACATATGTCTGTTAGCAAGTATTTTTAAATTGAAAATGTCTGAACATAATATAGTTTCATGGAAGAATACATTGACCATTTTTTTTAATGTACATGAATTCAACCCAACACATGCAGACAACTACTGCAATGGAGAACATGAAGAAACATCGTCTTCTTGTGCATATCGGTGGCAATGTGGAAATTCCATCTGGAACATTACAACTCCAGTTGATTTAGTTGATCACCATCTCAGTCTTCAAAAGATAATATCATGAGGTGTGGGAAGTCCTGGTTTTAAGGAAGCCACTGGAATATAGATGGGAAATATGGACTTTACAAGTATATATGGTATATACTTGCAATGTGACATGGTTCTGTAGATCATTTTATAATAATATTTTAATTTATCATAATTTATAAAAGAAACCTTTGTTGTTTGTTGAAAGAAAATGAAGGAGCAGGAAAAAAGATTACTGCAAAATGCTAAATTTCAGCAAATGGATTTGGCATGTCTTTTCCCGTTGATTCAGGGCAAAATGTGCTATTGTTATGAGATTTATATTTAAAGAAAAAATGATAACACACTATTTTCATATTTTTTGTTTATTTGCACAAATTTAAACCAGATTACTGGTTAAAATCCCACAGTACACAATTTATGAAGTAAAAAGATTTTTTTCAGGAAAACAAATACAATAACCAGTGCCATGAAATGGAGAAGAAAGGTTTGTTTTTGTTTTTTTAAGGAAAACCCTGCCTAAAATGTTACTCTTGTAAAAAGTGTGTATTTGGAATATTCTTTGTTTTAATATAGAATATTACAAAGTCAAAATATAACAAATTGTTTTCAGATTTGGAATTTAAGCTATAGCTGTAGAGGTGATTTTGTTTCTTTTAGATGTCTCATAAAATGAGACTTTTTATATGTTAATGTATATTAAAACTGAAACAAGATTATTTTCCATTCGAAATTTTTGTATAGTTTAAAAATGCTTCTGTATTCTTTGTTGATATTGTGCCACTGCAAAACTTTAGTGCAGAGTTTATATTTAGCTAAACTGTTATGTTAATTAAGAAAGGCATAAATCTTTTATTCTTAATATTTGTAATTCTAAATAAATTGATCTATGAAAATTAATATTGTCTACATTCTTATTTAATTAATACAAGCTGATAAGTATTCCTTTTATGTAAAAAGTTTTGAAGAATTGTAATTTCCACTAAATTATATTTTTAGGAGAAACAATACAGGTTAAATACCAAATTATGATGAAGTATGATGCCATCCAGTACTATATGAGAGCGGCTTTTTTCCATCTGTGAGTAAATCGCTGCGGCAACACTAAGCAAGTAAGTTACTGGCCTGGTACCCACCTAGTGAAAGGCTGCTTTTAATATATTTTGCCTAGTACTGGATAAGCACTTCTTACATTTTGTCTTTTACACTTTTTTTTTTTTCTTTTACCTCCTAACTCAGACAGATTCTTTTTCATTTCTTAGGGCTCACGTGTCACACTAAAGTACTACTTTATTTTACACCTATCTAATTAAGCACTGTTCGTCTTAAAGTGCCATCATGTGTTGACAGCAGAGTCTGTGCCTAAGATCATAGGTGAACTTTACTTCTGTTTAGGGAAGAAGAAATCCATATAAGTCAAAGTCGTCATTTTGGGTCGGCTGTACATTTGTTTGGATGATGCTGCCACCTTCTAACACATTTTTAGAGCTCTAAAGAAAGCTATCAAAGCCAAATTGAGCAAATAAGCAAGCACATACGTGGTTTTTATTTATATAGATTTGGTTCCAAATTACTTTAAGGTAGTTCCAAAAGTCATGTTCACTTGTTACCATTGATAATCTACAAAAAGCTTTGCCTATTAAACTTTTTTTCTTGAATCCAAGCACCTCTCCATCTTCATTACCACTTCTCACAGCCCTGCTGCCATTGTCACTAGCCTGGAATAATGCAGTCGTCTCCTAACCTATCTCCCAGCATCCACTCAGCCCCTTTCAAATGCAGCCAGCGTGATATTCTTAAAATGCAGAATTGGTCAGGTTATTCCCCTGTCTGTAAAGACATCTGAAGTCTTCTTTTGGCTGTCAGGACGATGTCAGAACTCTTTAACGACCCATGAAACCCCGTGTGCCCTGGCCTTCCCTACCTGTTTCTGCACCCTGCTTCTCACTCCCAGGGCGTCTGCACCGCAGGCCTCCGTTCCGAACCTCTCCTCTCCTCCTCAGAAACTCCTGATCGTCCTGCACACCTCACCCTCAGCATTACCTTCTCAAGGAAGCTTTCCTTGACCACAACACATCTCTCATTGCAGTGTCTCCAGATCATGTACCTCTCTCCTTCCAGCACTTGTCGCATTTGCAACTTTATATTTCTTGGAGTGGTTTGTGTCTCCATCCTGGCCTCTTTGCTCCGTGAGGGGAGGGACTGTTTCTGTTTTTGTTCATCATTTATTTCCAGGTCCTGATAAAGTGCCTGTTCATAGGCACCAAACAAATATCTGTGTAATGAATGAGCAAATGAGAGTTTCAAACGAGCTCTGGGGCCGGCCCGGTGGCGCACTGCTACAGTGCGCCGCTTGGGAAGCGTGGCGGCGCTCACGCCGAGGGTTCGGAT